TTTTCTGAGTCCCTCCCTCACACAAACATACATGCATACATAGGATGTGCTTAATGCAGTGGCTGAAGAAGAGAGATCTAGTGCGTGTCAGTTTGTGCCCCCACAGTCTTGTTCATGTTTAAGGTACTATATGATTTATCCTCTCCCCCCCAATCAAAAAACCAAGTGAACTCTGTCACCATGATCAAAATTTAGAATATAACATTCTAAAGGCAGGTACCTCTTTCTTTATGCATGCATGCATGTTCTCTCTCTCACACACATATCCTTCTGTTTGTTACTCTGAAAGTTACCATATAACATTCCTGCTATGTAAATAAATCACTGGGGAAAATGCCACATTTGGGCTTAGAAAAGGACAATGTTTTTGGAATATACAGGTCCTAGGTAAGTGGACTAGTGAGCGAGAAGAGGATTTGGGTAATTTTTAAAGGAGAGTTTTCTTTTTGGTTATCGAATGGTATATATATTTACCCTTTTCCAAAGAGGAGAAAGATGAATCCGTGGAGAATGGCTGGCATCATTTCTGTCAGCGCATGTCATAATAAAAGTTTGACAGTTTTATAGAAGGAAAAGCTCTCTTTCACAGTGTGCTGCATATTAATGAGCAGTTATGTAGTGTAACATAATTAGAAATGTGGTGCCTAGTGGAAAGGAAAGGAAACTAATGGGGGATGTGAATGTTTGTTCCCAGGATATGAGCCACAGGATGAGAGTGCCTCCTGGTGCCCTTGATGGTACATAGAAAGGCATTTCTTTGTGTCTCTGTGTTTTTCTTGTATGTGGTAACAGGAAGCTGTGTCACTGCTCAGCATATCCATAGCATAGTTCTCTGTATGAAGTGGTGCCATTTTATCTCAGACAACGCTTATCTCATAGGAAAGGCTGCCTTGGGCCACCCAAGGAGCTTTGTGGCAGAACTGAGATTACAGACTTTGTTTCTCACATCCATGTTCAAAGTGCTGAAAACCCCCTCCCCCATGTTCCACTTACTCTTTTTAAACATTAGAAGGGCTGTACTGTATCAGATATGGTTACCACAGTAGACTTAACTAGGCTGGCTTTATTTTGATGTCAGACAACCAGCTCTGTCAAAGTCAGAGCCCAACCAGTTGCTGAGGCAACAATATGAATATTTAATTCACATATTAGCTCACATAATGATCACTGCAGATGGTGGCAGCAGCCACGAAATTAAAAGATGCCAGCTTCTTGGGAGGAAAGCAATAACAAACCTAGACAGCATCTTAAAAAGCAGAGACATCACCTTGCTGACAAAGGTACACATAGTCAAAGCTATGATTTTTCCAGTAGCGATGTATGGAAGTGAGAGCTGGACCATAAAGAAGGCTGACCACTGAAAATTTTATGCTTTTGAACTGTGGTGCTGGAGGAGGCTCTTGAGAGTCCCCTGGACTGCAAAGAGAACAAACCTATCAATTCTGAAGGAAATCAACTCTGAGTGCTCACTGGAAGGACAGATCCTGTAGCTGAGGCTCCAATACTCTGACCACCTCATGAGAAGAGAAGACTCTCTGGAAATGACCTTGATGTTGGGAAAGTGTGACGGCAAGAGGAGAAGGGGACGACAGAGGATGAGATGGATGGACAGTGTCATCGAAGCGACCAACATGAATTTGACCACACTCTGAGAGGCAATGGAAGACAGGAGGATCTGGCGTGCTTTGGTCCATGGGGTCACGAAGAGTTGGGCACAACTTAACGACTAAACAACAAAATACTCCTGGATGATCTACTGCTCCTGGAATCCATGGCTGAGGTGTCTGCAGAGCTTGACAGTTACTTTCTTAGACTACAACTCTAGAATCCCCCATCCAGGAACCGCTACAGTATTTTTTTTATTGTACAGTTGGACACAAAATGTGCTGTTGAAAAAATACCTGTGTAGTTGGAAACTCTTAGATGTGCACTTAGAGAAATATGGAAAAAATGTAAAGAGTTCAAATCTGTTTATTAAGAAGACAGGCTGTGTCCTGTAATACAATTTTTGTAAGGGTCAGAAACTGTTTGGAAGTGTTATGCCCAAACTATGTTAATACAGTGGGGTCTTGACTTGAGAACTTAATCCGTATTGGAAGGCGGTTCTCAAGTCAAAAAGTTCTCAGGTCAAATCTGCATTTCCCATAGGAATGCATTGAAAACCATTTGGTCCATATCTGCTCTTTTCCGTCCATAGAAACTAATGGGAAGCTGCTATTCCGCCTTCGACCACTAGAGGGGGATATTTTGTTTCTTTTTTTCTTAGGTCAAGAAAGGTTCAGGGAAGGCAGGGAAAATACAGTCCAGGCAGTACCAGGCAGTCCGAAGACTGTCTCCCAATCCACTCTCTAAACGCTGGGAGGAGTGAGGAAGCAGACAGGCACCCTTTTCACTGGCCAACAGTTAACTGAAATTTCAAAATTTGCACTTTCCCTGCCTCCCACGTGGGTTTTTTTCAGTTCTTAACTCAAATCTAAGTATGTAAGTCAAGTCAATATTTTCCTATGAGAGTGGTTCTTAAGTCAAAATGTTCTTAACTCGAGCCATTCTTAAGTCAAGACCCCACTGTACAACTTTGTCTTTATCAGGCCTCTTCACATTCTACTGGCCACAACGTAGCAAACACTAAAGCAACAATTTAGCCCGAAGATTGGTTTATGGCCTTATGGGAGGGATGAGTCTGATAGGACATTTGCGCAGTTGGAAAATCTACTTTTAAAAAGCCCCGAGGCACTGCAGTCCCTCTCCTCTGCATTGGAGGCACAGTAGAGGCTGTAGAAACTTCCTCTGGGATCTGAATGTGACACTTGTTTACACTATTTTGTAGATAACCAAAGTAAAGTTAGATGCACAGTCTAGTGGCAACTGCATTTTAGTGGCAATATAAGAATTAGGTTTCAGTGATACAAAGACCAGCATGGTGTTGTGAGCCTATTATGTTCTTAAGATGCAAGTTTTCAGTCTTCAGGTTATTTGCTTGGGGGAAATTGGCCCTTCATTGTATAATTTTTATGTGGGGAATATTTCATACATATCAGGGATTGGGTAAGCTCCATGGAACAGAGAGACAGTTTTGTTCAGTAGGGACCTCTGCACTCTTTCTAAAATGCAGTTAATTTACTTTCTCTCCCCAATACTGCCACTTTGGAGGGAGGGAAAACACTCCAGGGGAAATGGACCCCCACACAAATTCGCATGCCTTGTTTTACAGGACCACTGCTACTTCTGAAAGTTTCCAGGGGTGGCAATTCTTTTCTTTTCTGTCTTTCTTTTTTGACTTTATATTTTTTGAGTTGGAGGGGGGAGGGCAGGAAGTGGCCTTAGGGCTATAGTGAGAACTATTAAGTTTTAAGTGTGTCACTGTGATGCAGAACTAACAAGAAGCAGAGCTTGGGATGTTATAGTTTAAGGAACTCCTTGCATTATTCATTACTTCTTGGCAGCCAGGTGCCCATTATTGTTGCTTCATTCATACAAGTCATTTGGTGCTTTATGCGTTATTAACACATTACATTTTTGTTACCATCAGGACAGACAAATGTAGGAAAATATTGCCTAATTCCATCTAATAGCTGATTATGATACTGCGCTTTGCAAATATGTATAAAAAAGACATAAGCGTTCTGATTCCATCTTAACAGCTAATTCTGATATTGCGCTTAGCAAATATGTATAAATACTATCTAATTCCATCTAATCACTGATTTGGATATTGCACCTTGTAAATATGTATAAAAAGACAAAGGCAAATCCTGTTGCACTGCTACACAAATGGTGCAATTTTTGGAGGTGAATTCCATCAAGTTAAGAATTTTTCGTTGACAATAGCTGAAATCCTGTAGTAGGTGACAACAAGAGTAGGTTCATTGGATCACTGGAATTTATAAAGGTTTTAACTAGAGATGGGTTATTCGTATTCAAATACGAATATCCCCGCATAGGTGGAAGTAACAAGGGTTTCGCCGCTCCTACCAGCTCCACCGAGCCTTCCTATTGTGCTGTTGTCCGCAATGGATTAGCCACTCTCCAACCTAGCAGAGAGGCTTGTCATCCCGCCTCCTGCCAGAAGTGGGTAATCGACTGCATACAACAGTGCGATAGGAAGGCTCTACAGAGCCAGTGGCAGCTCCCAAATCACGAGTGGACAGTCTCATTATTTCCACCTGTGAGGGGATATTCGTATTCATATACGAATACCCCCATCTCTAGTTTTAACTCACCAAATTCCAACTGTTTCAGTGGGCCTACCCTGGTGGCAGCTTATCGCTGGCTTTTAGCCAGTATCCGTTGCATACTTAACTATATGACTTGGCACACAACCAATCATGGCTTCAGAGATTTCTTCAGAGGTCATGGCTTTCTTGTTGCAGCGTAACAGGCTTTGTTCCAAAGTATACTTCCCTTATTGATAAGGGAATGGCATAAGAAAAATTCTTGTCAAAATGCCCTTTAAAATATTCAAAGTAACTTTTGAAAGTAACTAGGGGCTATTCTTTAAATCTAAAACTAACTTTACAACTACCAGCTGCATCTCTCATTGGCTGAAAAATAACTAACTGCAGGAAATGTTACTTGTAACTAGTTATTTCCAAGCTTTGGTAAGAAAATAGTTGAGATCAAACACTGATGGCTGAATCACATATCAAATATTGATCCCAGCAGGAGATGGGGCACTGTTTCTGCCCTATCTATCTATCTATCTATCTATCTATCTATCTATCTATCTATCTATCTATCTATCTATCTATCTATCTATCTATCTATCTATCTATCTATCTATCTATCTATCTATCTATCTATTTATTTATTTTATATCCCGCCTATCTGGTCGGGTAAGTACCACTCTAGGCAGCTCAGAGAGGTGATAGCTAGATTCTTTGGCCCAGTTGCCAACAAACAACATTTGCAGTACACAAACTATTTAAAATGTGTTTTATAAGCTTTTGTGCATTAAATCACCTAGAGACTGACATATTTGAACATATTGCTTGTATTTGCAGAAGAAGAAGCAGGAGCAGCCACTGTCCCGAACTTGCCAACAAAAGGTGAAGAACCAAAGAAACAGAGCCAGGAAACAGTTAGCAATAGTTCAGGTATGTCTTTTGCCTATTGTGTTCATCTTTTCCATTTACTTGTTGGCATTTGCCTTCCCCTTAGCTCAAATGAAAGATTTTTAAGTTCTAGCAAGTTTAAGTAGAGCGGGAGGAGGCCCAGGAGGGCATCAGAATAGCACCATTTAGGATGCATTAAAATCGCTTGAGAAGGATTTATAAAGTAAGCCAATTTATACAAGGTATTCCTTCCTGAATTACTTTGTAATGACTCAATTAGCTTTCATTTCTTCACAAAGGAGATTTAGCTGCATAAATTAGCTTATCATCATTGAGGAAGTGTCACTGTTAAAGGACAGTTTATAGATACAACATGCAGTTGCTGTCAAACCTATAAGAATGTAATATAGACATCTGTGTATACTTTGTGCTTGAGCAGAACAGACTTCTGTCATTCAGAGACTAACAGGGGACAACAAGTTGCCCAGGGGACCAGCAATGTAGACGTCTCTGAAAAGGTCATCTTGACACAGGCTCTGACGATCGACCCACAGTTCTGTCTTCTTTGATAAAAATCAGATAAACTTAAGACCACTAATTGATCTGCAGCCTGTTTAAATGTTGGCCATGCATATCTTCATTGCATATGATTATACCTCAGAAAGCAAATGAACTGGGGCTAAGAAATGCCAGTGTCCAGTGTTAGCACAAGGAAAGGCAATGGCAACATAAAAAATCAGAAGAACAGAGAAATGTTTTCACATTCTCTTGCTTTTCCCTCCCATCCCTTAGACTGGTAATTTACCCTTATGCTAATGGTTCCTGCATACTGTGTGTGTGGGGGAGGGGGGCTAGAAATCAATCAATCTATCAAACAAATAAATAAACAATCCTTGCCCATCATAAAAAGCAGTTTAACTAATGCTATAGGAAAGTATTGTCTTGACACCCTCAGCTAGGTTTTTCACTTAGAAAACCAACCCCAGTTCTTTATTGGACCACCTCTTTACACCCAAGAGAGCAGCTGAGCAAAAGTTGCACTCCTATACAGTAGCTCCTTTCCTCCAAAGGAACAAACCACAGGTTCTCCTCCTCCTCATATTTGCTCCACATCATTCTTCCACTGCTGTCAGAGAGAGGGAGGATGAGGAGTGTGCTCAGGAAGTGTCTTTGCTATGCCCTTCCTCTTAAACTGTGTAGAAAGGAAACAGGCTTGATTTTTGGCATCTCACAGGAAGCTATATGAACAAGTTGCTGTAGACAGTTTAGGTTTGTGTTTGTCGTAGAGGAAGCAAAGATTTGAGTCATCAAATGTTGCTGTCAAGGGTGGTCCACTATAAAATAAGCATTAAATAACAATGTAACCTTGGCAGTAGAATCACTGATGCTTTTCCAAAACTGGAAGTGTGCCCAAATTACTAAAATGTCAGGCAGCTCCATTTCAAGGCCATGTGAAGTAGGCACCAGAGATTTACTCGAAATACAACTGGAAAACACTTCCTGTGCTGACAAATTGTCTTTCACTTCTGAGCCATTTACACATCCTACAAGAATCCCATTAAGTAAGACTCAACAAATCTAAGGTGAAAGGGTATGGTCCAAGATTTCATGAAGGTGGAAAATTTAAAAGTGACAGGGCCTCTTAAAGATTCCATGATGGAGTCAATATGTTCCTCAAAATCAGATTATTTTTGGAGAGATTTAGATTTTCTTTTTTTACATTTGGATTTAAGCCAGAGATTACTAACTGCCAATGAATTAGATAATGAGAAGGTATGGAATTATGCATTTTGGTGATGGGAAACTCACTCTTGAAGTTCCATCTAGCCCAGCTACCATGGTCAATGGAAGGGATTATGGAAGATGGTCCACCATCTAGAGAATCAGACGCACTTTCACTACATTTTTAGGCGGCTTCCAATATAGTATGAACAATAAAATAATACAAAAATTACATAAATCATACTGTAATGTACGCAATACAACAATAGAATAGAAAATAAATAGAGAATAAACAGAAAAGTCAGATATTATATTGCAGTACATGGTTCTATTAACTTCTCTCTAAGTGCATTAGAAAAGCCAATGGATCAGAGATTCACTTGGGCTACTATCCTGTTTTCTTCAATAGCTAACTCTTCCAAAAAGCTCACAAACCAAACATGAAGATCTTAGGGTCCTCAGTGTTGCCTTTCATGAACTGGAATTCCGTGACATATTGCTTCTGAATACAGAAGTTCTCATAAAGTCTGAGGAGAATCCTTGCAGTTCTGCTGCCCATGCATTCCAGGCCTACAACAAAGGAAGCTATTTCTTTAGTCAGACATTGAACATATGTACATATGAAGAGCCTTCGGAGTTATAAACAACCTAGCAGCACAAAGTTCCAAAAAGAGTAGTCCTAGAATAAGCTGGAATTTTTAGCATTTATACATTACTGAAACAGGGATGTCTGTGTTGGCTTGGGCATGTCATGAGAATGGCTGATGGTCGGATTCCAAAAGATCTCCTGTATGGAGTATTAGTGCAGGGAAAGTAGCCCAGAGGGAGACCATAGCTGCGATACAAGGTTATCTGCAAGTGGGATCTGAAGGCCTTAGGAATGGACCTCAACAGATGGGAAACCTTGACATCTGAGCGTTCAGCCTGGAGGCAGGCGGTGCATCATGGCTTCTCCCATTTTGAAGAGACACTTGTCCAGCAGGCTGAGGCAAAGAGGCAGTCCCGAAACCACCAAAATCAGGGAGCTGGATAGAGGACAGATTGTATTTGTCTTCAGTGTGGAAGGGATTGTCACTCTCGAATTGGCCTTCTCAGCCACACTAGATGCTGTTCCAAGTTCTCTAATCAGAGCATGTTTCTATAATCTCTCGAGACTGAAAGATGCCTAAATCTAATCTAAATCAACCTAATCATTATCATTAGACAGACAGACAGACAGACAGACATACTGCGCCAATATTTAACAGATACTTAGGTTTTTTGTTAAAATGTGTTTCTGTTTTATAATACCAATCAGTGTTTTTATAGTTTTGACTGTGTCTGATGTTTTTGAATACTGTAATACTGTAATAATAATAATTTTTGTGATTGCAATGTCTACTCTTATGGGAGAAGTAGGAAAAAATTCTCTATCCTATTTTTTTTCTGCACTATGCATAATTTTTATAAATGTTTAATTTAAAGCAACAAGGTAGAGTGGAAACTATAGTCCTCAAGAAAAGAAATTCAGAACACCACACAACCTACAGCTCAAAACATGGATGTGCCATTGTTGTAGCAAAACTTCTACAGGTATAGCAGTAGCTATACCTTTTGCTATAAAGTGAAATTTTTTTGCTGTCTGGAATTTTTCCTGCTTTTTGAAATATACAAACATCTACATCAGTGTTAAGGAGGGAAAACTCAGTTTTATTGAAGAGCTTAAGTAAAAGGCATGTGGTATTTTCTTTTAAGCTGCTGTATGAACAAAGTAAAAACTCAACAGCAACATTAGCCTTTCTGTAAAAAAGCAACCAACTTTATCAGGCCAGTTTCTGTCTAAATCTTTAAGGAAGTCACACCCACTCAAAAATCAGAGGAAATTGCTATTTAAGCTTGTCTCTTAAAGACACAGGCCCTGTATATTATTGATGTGCTGCTCAGTGTTTTCACCAGGAAACAAATTCTAGGATCAGATGTGTTCCACCAAAAGCTTATCTTTTCCAATGGATCGGGATGTCAGAAAACTAGTTTTCATCTTATGATTGCTACTCTACGTTGTCCATTTGGTTAAAGCCTTACTGTTTGGCAAAGCATAATGGCAACCTCAGGCTATAACAGAGAGGCAAGGCATGAGCAGCTGTATGTGTGCTGTGTGGCTTGCCTGTCCCCACTGAGGTAGTTTGTTGCCTTCACATTCAGTGTGGGATTGGATTCCTTTGCCTCCACTTTACTGCACAGTGTTGTAGCTGTCAGCCTAGTCAGCTTTTGCTTATATATTATGGAGAAAGTACAGTAGAATCTGAGCCTCAGGCAGCAAAATGATTTGGACAAATCCCATCACATACATTCATGCACATTCTGATACTCCTGCAGATTGAAAACAATTGTTGTAATATACAGTATACAAGCAATTTGTACTTTTATTGTAGAGTGCATACATTCATTCACATTCTGCTACTCCTGCAGATTGAAAACAAACACCTAAATGTTGTAATATACAGTTTACAAGCAATTTGTACTTTTATTGTAGAGTGGAACTTTTAATCTTTTTCAAGTTATGCCATCTTTCATACATCCTTAAGGTATTTAATTCTCCCCATTGGAAATTATAGAATTGTTCCAGAGTGAACATTTCTCCCAATAGCTGTGTTCTGGCATTCATGTAAATCCTGTGGAAATTATGGTGAAAGCACATAATATAAAACCTAGTTCGTGTTTCCAGCACAATCTGTGTTAGAAAAAAAATGGCCCATCCCCATTGTAAAATATTAATGTTTTTCTTTGCTGGCATGGTCTTAAATTTTTATGAGGTGACCTATAAATTTAAGTAGGCTTCATACAATATCCTTGAAATGAAGCACCCTAATAATGACTCCCTGATGTGAAATTCATTTCAAGCAGCCATTTTCACAGTTTAGCATGGCAGTGACCCCTGATCTTGGGGCAGTTAAATGTGGTAAGGCTAGACGTTTGTTTGCTATGTAGGATAGTGTTGACAAAAAGTACAGTATTTCTACCTTATCAGAGATCATATGACATAAACATCCTCTAACCCTACTGAAGAATATAAGATGTTTTTCACATTAAAACTCCCACCCCCACCCCAAAAAAACAATCATACACATGTAGAGTTCTGTTTGTATACCTGTGTGAATTGAGTGAATAAGCCATACATGTTTTAGTACAAGTATACCTTACTCAAGTTACACATTACTCTTGGATAAATGTGGATTTTGAAACATATACTGGAAAAGGTTGGTGTTTCTCCCCAGTTAAAGATAACTATAATACAGATGAGCGGGTTAAAATAAGATGTTTCACTATGCAAAACCATACTA